GCTAAACCATATCCCCAGCAATGCCTCAAAAAAATCAAACATACTATACATACACACACAAATTATATATATTACATATATATACATATATACATACATATATATATATCTCACTGTCCTCCCGTTGTTCATCGATTTGCTCGAGCGGGCCCAGTGACGTCACCATTGTGACAATTGTTACTGTGATATAATTGTTATGTGCTTGGACCAAAGCGCTTAATGTCGTCTAAAAAAAAAAAAAAGAACAACAATCTGGGGCCAGAGCAATAGTACATCAGGATAATACAGGACACCTGAACTGCACTGGTTCAACCCCCAGCACTCCATGTGGTCACCCAACACAGTCAGGAGGGATCACTGGCTCAGAGCCAGCAGTAAGCCCTGAGCACCACTGGGAGCTCCCCCAAAATCGAAACAAAAAAAAAAGAACAATACAGTAATATCTGCCTTATTCCACTCTTATCTGTTTCTTTTGGGCAGTGCTTAAGGGCTACTCCCGGTTCTCTGCACTGGAGACCCCGTGGTCCAGGGACTGAACAAAGCCTTCCCTCATGCAGAACACAGGCTTGGTCCTTCGGCTCTCCCACTGGCCCCTTAGAACGAACACTTTGTCAAGGTTAAATAAGCGATCTTGCTCCCGAAGCCCATGTTCTCTCTTGAACACACATGTCTCCCCCATGTCTCTTTGTGGCTTTTTCCACTAGGAGAAAACATATTGCTCCCTTGAAAACATATTTTCTCTTTTTCTGTCCCCTTGCATCTTTATAAGTTTCACTCAATAAAAACTACCTTGTTTCACTTTTTAAAAATTAAGTGTCATGATAAAAGTCCATGTATCAACTGTATCACTGTCCTCCAGGCCCAGTAACATCTCCATCATGAGACTTGTTGTTACTGTGTTTGGCATATCAAATACGCCACAGGTAGCTTGCCAGGCTTTGCCAAGCGGGCGAGATACTCTCGGTAGCTTGTCAGGCTCTCCAAGAGAAGCGGAGGAATCAAACTCAGGTTGGTCATGTTGGCCGCTTGCAAGGCAAACACTCTACCCACTGTGCTATCGCTCCAGCCCCCATGTATCAAAAGAAATCATTTATATAAAATATTTAGAACAGGGCCTGGTGTATAATAATCACTTAATAAATGTTACTAAATATTAATATATGTAAGCCTGCTATAGTAGTGTCTAGATTAAGAATGAGCATTAAAGTGTGAAATGGAATTTAAGAAAAGGAATGAAGAAATTATAAGGTATTCAGGAGGATTACTCCATAGCTTAGAGGCCAGCCGGGTATTCTAGGGGAAAGGACAGTTCAGATAGAGAAGGGAGCACCAAATGGAGGGTGTTTGGAGGATCCTCCCAGGAGGGGAGATGCAGGTTGAAAGTAGACTGGATTGAACATGTTTGCCACTCAATGCCTCTTTTGCTGACCACAACACCCAAAAGGAGAGAGAGAACAAAAGGGAATGCTCTGCCACAGTGGCAGGGGGGGATGGGGGGTTTGGGGGGGAGGGATATTATCCATGGTGGTGGAAAATGGGCACTGGTGGAGGGATGGGTATTTGATCATGGTATGACCGAAACCCAAGCACAAAAATTTGTAAATCTACAACTGTACCTCATGGTGTTTCACTAATAAAAAATAAATTAAAAAAAAAGAAATTATAAGGTATTTTTAAAGTTCAGAAACTAAAATTTAATGACTTCCCCCCCTCTCCGAACAAATCCATTATTTCATTACTCTACAGGAACATACACTATATTGTTAATATACATGTGCCAGGTATATTACCAGTTTTCAATACACCTTCTGAATTAACAGTTTTAATATAATGACACTGTCTTAATAATGAGGTAGGGGAGTGTCACTTTGACCCACTGACTTCTATTTCTGCCTTAGGAAATATTTTTTTCAGGTGCCAAACTACCTTGCCATTCGTTCCTCTGGAGAACTATTTAATTTCAACAGAAAAAAGATTATGAAATTTTCTCCCACTCTGAACCACAAGAAAGTACACAGCATCCACCTAATTCCTGATAAGTGTTCCTAAAAGTGTTTGTGTCCAAGGAGAAAAAAATATGAAGAATTTAAGTGCTGGAAAAATAACTTTAAAGCAAGCAAAAACCAAAAAAGCATATGGAGAGAAGAAGAAACTTAAATTCAGTCCTTGTATGTTTTTAATATATATCTTGCTGATAAATAGTCACAGTTGCAACAGCATGGCAAGTTTCCACAGCCTATAGGAGTAAAATTTTGTGTTGATTTTATTCACTTGTAGTTGCAGCGACTGAAATCAAATTGAGCTGTGTCTAATTTGAGAAAGACACTATCTTTGTTGTTGCTGTTAAATTGTTTGACATGGCGGCTCGAGCCTCACCCGTACCTTCCCACCCCTCACTGAGGACTCCTGGGCACCTGCTGCTCCAGGACCCCGAGGGCTGCACCTAAGGGTGCAGTGGGGTGGAGGGGACATCGTGCTGGGGATTGAACCACGGACCCAAACAAGCAAAGTATGAGAGCACCCCACGGTGTATACTATCTCCCTGCCCCAGACAGCAGTTTTCTAACACAGTTAGACAAAAGGTTTCCTGAAGATAAGTGGCCGTATCAGTTTTCAAAGACAGCGTTATGATCTAAAGAGTGTCTTAGGAAGACCATACACGTATGCACATAATATGAACATTATTAACTCAGCCCCTCATTCTTCTTCTTTTAAGATTTTTCTTTTTCTTTCTTTTTTTTTTTTTTTTGGCTTTTTGGGTTACACCCGGCAATGCTCAGGGGTTACTCCTGGTTTTGCACTCAGGAATTACTCCTGGCGGTGCTCGGGGGACCATATGGGATGCTGGGAATTGAACCCAGGTCAACAAGGCAAACGCCCTACCCACTGTGCTATCGCTCCAGCCCCAGCCCCTCATTCTTCTTAAATGAATCTTCACAGACTAAATATTTTAATAAAAATTTCATTCACTGGGACTAGACACCAAGTATCTCACCCCCATTGTTTTTCACACATTTTGAAAAGATATCAAAAATACTGAGTGATACACTGATCATTTAAAACGTATTTTAGAGGGTCTGGAGTCAAAGTACAGTGGGGAAGGCATTTGCCTTACACTCAAAAGACACAGATTAGAGCCTCAGCATCCCTTATGGTTCCCCGAGCACTACCAGGAGTAATTATTAAGTGCAGAGCATAGAGTAACCCTGAGCACTGCTGAGTGTGACCCCCCCCCCAAAAAAAATTCAAATATTGGAAGAGGAAAAAGCAACACAGTGCTGGTGTTTGTAAAGCTGGAGTGACGGGTCAATGGGCAGAGCACACACTTTGCATGCAGGAAGCCTGGGTTCCATCCCAAGCACCACCAGGAGAGGCCTCAGCTGAGAACAGCCCTGAGCACTGCCACGTGGTTACAAGTTTGTTTGTTTTTAAAGTTTTTATTTGGTGTGTATGTACATTTCAATGGAAAATAAATTTTACTTTGGTACATGTACACAATGGAATACTATGCAGCTGTTAGGACAGGTGGAGTCATAAAATTTGCTTATAAGTGGATGATCATGGAGAGTTTCATCCTAAGTGAAATAAGTCAGAAAGAGAGGGACAGACATAGAATGACTGCATTCATTTGTGGAATATAAAATAACATAGTGTGAGACTGACACCCAAGGACAGTAGAAACAAGGGCCGGGATTATTGCCCTAAAAGTTGGAAGCTTGTTTCATGACCTGGGGGAGAAATCAGCTGAAACAGAGAAGGGATCACTAAGTCAATGGTGGTTGGAGGGATTGTTCGAGATGGGAGATGTGTGCTGAAAGTAGATAAAGGAACACACGTGACAACCTCTCAGTATCTGTAATGCAAACCATAATGCCCAAAAGTAGAGAGAGAATATGGGGGAAACTGTCTGCCATGGAGGCAGGGGGAGGATTGGAAAGGGGGGTATACTTGGGACATTGGTGGTGGAGAATGTGCACTGTGGAGGGATGGGTGTTTGATCACTGTATGAAACTCAAACATGAAGCTTTGCAACTATATCTCACGATGATTCAATAAAACAAACAAATAAATAAATTTCAATGGAAAATAGATCCAGTTTCCATTTGTCTTAAAAATGTATTATATGGAGACTGGAGAGACAAGAGAGCAGGTAGGGCACTTGCCTTCCACATGGCTAACCCAGGTTCAAACTCTGACAGTTCCATATGGTCCCCCAAGCACCGCCAAGCATCCCCAGAGTAGTTTCTGAATGCAGAGCCAGGCGTAACCCCTGAGTATCACCGGGTGTGGCTATGATATCCCACACACAACACACACAAGAAGAAGAGACAGCATTTTATTTTTTAACTAACAAAAGTTGACTTTGCGGGGGCCGGAGTGATAGTCCAGTGGGTAGGGCATGCCTTTATGCAGCAATCCCTGACATTCCCAAGCACCGGCAGGAGTAATTCCTGAATGCAGAGCCAGTCAGGAGTAACCCCCAAGCATCGCTGGGTTCAGGCCCCAAAACAAACAGCAACAAAAAAGCTGTCCTGGTGGTAGAGTGAAAGAGATAAAATTCCATCTTAGAGAAAAACTTAATGAAATGAAAAAAAAAAGTAATGTGTTCATGTGGAGTTCAAGCCCAATTTAACCAGGTGAATCAATGGCTGAATAAATAGCAGTACTCCTACATTAAGAAAAAAAGTAATGTGTTCAAATTTACACACTAGCATTATGATTTCATCATACCATTTCTTAACCAGGGACTCTTAATTTATTATTTATCCTATCTGTACAAACCAAATTTAAAGGATATATGATCATTTTGATGTTAACCAAAAAAAAAACCAATGACAGTATCTTGATATTAGGAAACTGTGACATGGGGTAGATATATTTATATATATATATATTTTTATATGATTAAATTAACAAGTGATCATTGAGTTGCCTACTATGGACCCATTGTTGTTATAATTCAAAACATCGTTCTTAAGCAATTCGAAAGTGCTACTCACCAGCAAGTGTGTAATCCATATCAAAACCAAAACACTTAATTTTTTCCATGGCTAAACTTCGGTTCACAAATACCCTAAAGAAAGAAATAAAAAAATGATAACCCAGTTAATAAAACAAAAATCTTAAAATGTTAACGGAATTATTTGACTTTTCCTATCTCATTTAAATAATTTTAAGATCATAATGAAATTTATTCAAATCCTTCATATACCACTAGGAAAATCAGGTATTACACAAAAATATATGGATTTTCTCATTCTGTCTTGGTATCAACAATGACATGAACTCCAGACCTCAGAGCCAACTCTCCTTTCATACTCCAAATACTAAATGTCGTTGTTGGATGACATTTTAAGCATATTCATTTAACAATTACTGTATATTAACAACATATGCATACCCAAACACAAATATATGCCAAGTACTGCAACACGGCAGTGATCAAATGAGTACCTTTCTACATGTTACTTATATATTATAATCTCTATCCTTAAATAAGAACTAAGGCAATGTGAAACTTGTATGGCAAAGAACTACAACAATTCAATAAATGCTATAAACTACCATGAGTGAGGGGTCAGAGATATAGGACAGCGGGTAGGGAACTTGTCTGGCACATGGCTGATCTTGGGTTTGATCCTTTGCTTCGTATGGTCCCCCGAGCCCACCAGTGATCTCCGGGCACAGAGCCAGGAGTGAGCACCACTGGGTGTAACCCAAAAAATAAACAATAAATAACATGGAGAGAGAGAGAGAGAGAGAGAGAGAGAGAGAGAGAGAGAGAGAGAGAGAGAAGGGATCCCTTGTTTAAAGACCAGAAGAAATAACCTGAGCTGTACACAATCAGTAGTAACTTCCCAGTAGGGAGAAACGAGCAACCCAGACAGGATCAGCAAGCAAGGACAACACGAGGTCTGCACTGACTGCAGAACGCGTGCTGTGGTCGAAACAAGACGTTTCCTTGGTTCTGTTTTTCTGATTGTTTTTACCAAAGGAAGGTTCCTGGATTTAGGAGATCGGGGTGGCAATGAAGCTATAAAATTAAAAGGCTCTATATGCCACACTGCAGAGTTTGACGACATTAGAGGCAAAAATAAGTGATCAGATATTGAGGAAACAAAACAACCAGATTCAAATTTCAGAAACACCATCAAAGACAAAGGGGAAAAAATGATATTTACATTGGTATCAGCACAAGTGTGTCTTGGAGCAATTTTAATCATCACTGAAAATAAGGTTGCCATTTCCGTATGGTCTCCAGCTTAGTGCCCAGAACTATAAGATAGGTAGGGCGTTTGCCTTGCACGTGGCCAACCCGGGTTCGATTCCTCCGCCCCTCTTGGAGATCTCAGCAAGCTACCTACAGTATTCAGCCCGCACAGCAGAGCCTGGCAAGCTCTCCTGTGGAGTATTCCATATGCTAAAAACAGTAACAAGTCTCACAATAGAGATGTTACTGGTGCCCACTTGAGCAAATTGATGAACAACTGGAGGACAGTGCTACAGTGTTACATCCTCTTAATTACTAACGCTTTCTTTGCCTTCATTTCACAAGTCACTGTGAGAAATCGAGTAGGAAACTTATTAAATAGAAAGATGGCTGGGCCACAAAGAGAATACAGGGTGAAGGTGCTTGCCCTGCATCCCGCCAACAAGGATCCTGATCCCCAACACGACATGTGAGCGCCCAAGAATGCCAGGAGTCACCCCTGCACACTGAGGGAGGAAAGAGCATGAACTAGGTTCCCCATTGATGATCTAGGTTCTAACTTCTTACACTGCAGGCTGTGAACCTACTTAAAACTTGATTGTGACAATTAACTTTTTTAATTTGTTAAAAAAAATTTAAATAAGGTTCTTTATGATTCATCATCACTGAATATTTGATTTATATAGAGATAACCAGAGTCACATAAACTTTCTCAGGCAAAAAGGAGTGGGGAAGGGCCAGAGCAGTAGCACAGCAGGCTGGTAGGGCACTTGCCTTGCACACGGCTGAGCCGGGTCCAATCTCTGAGCACAGAGCCAGGAGTAACCCATGAGCACTGTCAGGTGTGACCCAACACCCCCCATCCCCCCACCCTCCGCCAAAGGAGTGGTGCATGGACAAAGTTTATGATGCCCTGATCTAGATCAGCATTTCTTAACCAGGCCCCACATGGCTCCATTTGACACCGGAATTTTCCAGAGGAACAAAGGTGAAAAATTACCTAAACGCGCAGGGGCCAACTGGTAGACCAGGGGCTCCACGGGAAGAGAACAAGGTCAGAAAGGGGCTGTGGCCAGAAAAAGGCTGAGAAACACGGACCGAGGTCAACAGTCTCCAAAGGGGAGTGACTGGACCAGGGAGCTGTAGATGATCCCGCCTGTAGTGATTCAAGAGAAAATAAACCTACTGGTACTTAATCCATCATTCAAACAGCTCTAATTTGCATCTGTTTCCTTCTATGAAGTTATAGCGGCATAAGTAATTTATAAATAAGTACATTCAGGGATAAGTAGTTCATATTTAATCTGAAAAAATAGTTGAAAACTTGGGAAGCAATTTTTTTTTTTAGCTCTTCAATTCCTAAATTAGCTTTCCATCTGAATACAGGCCAGGGAGATTGTCCAAAGGGCTTTAGTGAATGAATGCTTTGCATGCAGAACCCCAGGGCTCAGTATATACCCAGCACCACACAAACATCACTGTGAGTAACCCCAAAATACAGAGCATAGAGTAGGTGCCAACTCTATCAAGCACGGCACAAAAACCCCCACAAAAAATTAATTACAGGGGCTGGAGCAAGAGCACAGTGGGACAGTGGGTAGGGCGTTTGCCTTGCACGCAGCCAACCAGGTTCGATTCCCAGAATCCCACTATAGTGTATGAGCCAGGAGTAATCCCTGTGCATTGCCGGGTGTGACCCAAAAAGAAAAAAAATTAATTACAGATAACCTTTCATCTAAGGATGCATGTATTATCCTCAAGGCAAGCAAATTTTCCTAATCTGCTCAAAGTAGTTTGAGGAAAATATTTATACGTTCGTTAATTCAGAATGCTGACCCGTTGAAACTGAAATTGTCAGTTTCTATAGTATTCTACAGACAGAGTTAAATAGTTTATTTTTTTCCCTAAGAAAAGTCGTCTGGAAAAATATTTTGTCTTTGATTAGTAATCGATATGAGGAGAAAATGGTGGGTAACTGAGGAGTCAAGAATTAGAGGAGGGCTGGAGTGATAGCACAGCGAGTAAGGCGTTTGCCTTGCACGCAGCCAACATGGCTGACACAGGTTCGATTCCCAGCATCCCGTATCGTCCCTCCAGCACCGCCAGGAGCAATTCCTGAGTGCATGAGCCAGGAGTAACCCCTGAGCATCGCCGGGTGTGACCCAAAAAGAAAAAAAAAAAGAATTAGAGGAGATGGGGATGGAGAAGATCGTACAGTAGGTAAGGTGCTTACTTTGCACGCAGCCCACTAGGGTCAGTCCCCAGGAAGCCATATGGTCTGGTTCCCCGAGCACCGCCAGGAGTGATTCCTGAGTACAGAGCCAGGATTAGCCCCTGAGCACTGCCAGGAATGGCCCCCAAACAAACAAATAAATAAATTAAATTTTTGAAAAAAAGAAGAATTGGAGGAGGAATGACATAGCACCAAAAGCTTTCTTAAACACTCCACGATCTCAAATACACCATCATCATGATTCTACCATTTCATCGAAATCCACGTCTATACTGACCGAACTTATCTACTGTATTGGCACCCTTTCCTAGTTCCATAAACCCTATCCCTCCCTTTGTCGATACTGCCATTGGTTACTACTGTTGCAATGACTGGAAGTCACAAAGGTGATTGTGGAGGCTGTGAAGTTAAGCAGAACTGGTTTCAATGTGCAAAAAAAAATCACAAACTTTTGTTGTGGCACTAGAGATCACACACAGCACGTGACAGCGACTAAATTGTTGGCAACTCTGCCACTCAGCCAATACCCCCCCTTTTACAGGCCCCACAAGGGTATACATGGTTCTAACTCCAGAAAGGAAATACCACCACTGAGGCTTGGGCTTTTCAAATACATTCTCAATTCAGGCGGGGGCCAACTGGAGCAAATCCATAATCAGATACTGACATCAAACAGCTGACATGCCTAAAATATTTGCTGGGAATTCAGGCTGGTATCAACGGGAGTATTTTTCTTCCTTGTGATAAAATCCGTAGGAGACCTATTTGAGACCACATAATTTTTTTTTAAAAAAAAGCTTTGTTTCAGACAAAACCATGTGAATTGTTCTCGGGCCTGAAGTAGAAAAGGTACTCACTAATCCCACCCATCAGTGCTAAAGAAAGATTAAAAACTAGCAAACAGGCATAGCAAGAATTTACCAGAATCTTTCTTGACCAGGAAAGAGACTGAAACGCGGCGGGTAACTCTTTATGCTTTCTTGTTGCCCCAACACCCGCAGCAGTACCCGGCAGCCTTCAGGCCACTCTGCCAGTCCATGGACAGTTCCATGCTGGAGCGGGAGGATGCCACACGCCCCAGGCCCTGAAGTGCTGGGAACCACCAGGGCCACGCCCGGAGATGATCAAGAATGATAACACCTGGGAAGGGAGCATTCAAGACATACGCCCTAACCCCTACAAATGCCTCCCCACCCCAATACTGTTTTTTATGGCTATAAAGATCACAAGCTTTTTAGGTATACAAACTCTGAAAATGATACCCAAAGAAAACGTCACAATCTCCTGGCCTATGATAGTGATGACTACTTACATACCTACCCAATGCCAGTCTTCCCTTTGAGCTAGCTCTGAGACCATCCACTCAAAGCACACAGAATGCCTCCTACAAAGCCACCTCCTGTGTGACACACTCCAGCAGCTGCTCTTCAGCGAGCACCAGAGCTAGGAAAAGCTTCCAGGCAGAGATGTGTTCCTGTGGAAGGCTTTCACCAAATATCCTTTTTCTTTCCAAAACAAGTTTGAAAATAACTAATTTATGTCATTCAAAATAAGCACTCTCACTCAGAGAAACAATTCCCAAATGCAAAAGAGAAATACTCTCAGAGCCAAAGCAATAGTAGAGGAGGAG